CAATAGATAGTTAGATCATTGTAATGAAATGAATAGACACTCAATTCAGATATAATGTGTGAGTTGCATTTTGAAATAGTAATACTTTGATGTTAAGTTGTGTCATTTTGAACCTGTGATTTTAGTTCATTGAGCAAATGATCTATAGGTTTATGTGAATTGTATCCAAGCATTTGGAAAAAGTGTTAAGTATTTTGAAAAATTTGCATTTTGATCATCGGTTGTGAATTATTTGTCTAGAGTTTTGCAAAATGACATGAAGGTCCCGATATTAGTGCAAAAATGATTGTAAAAAAAAAAAAAACTAATTTGATAACGTATAGATAACAACTATCATATTATTGTAATTGAATTTATAGTTCAAATGTAAGAATTTGAAATGAAAGATGAAGTAATGACGTTACTTAATTCCAGTTTAATCTTCCTAATAAAAAGACTGTTCTACTCTTAATATTTTGCATTTATATTCTCTCCTTTAATGGCAATATCATTCATTTTTTTGATACTGACACAAAGGAGATGGCACAGGCCTACAGAAAGATTGTATTGTCATCAGATGTAGCTTTGCACACTGCCAGCATCTAGAATGATTTTGATCAACATTTTAGAGTTCATAGCAGAGGGCTTTCTTAACTTGTTATATTTTACAGCTTATCATACACATGTGCCCACCCCACACACACACATAACAAATCCCAATTTAACCGTGTAACAATATGAACAACCAAATAATAGTTTATTTCTGACATACAATTTAAGAACTATCATTCTAGATAGTTTTATTTAAAAAAAAATTTCTAATTGTGCGTTTAACCTTTTAATCCATATAGTCTCACACAGAAGTTCCAGAAAACTGTAGTTTTTAGTTTAAATGCTCATATCTGCAATTTGCAAACTATTCCTTTGTCTTTACTTTTCACACATTCACACGTTTAATGGATGTGTGATTACAGCAATCAATCCTATTCAATATTCTCGCAGCGTTTTCTTTCAGCAATATTCTGCACTGCTGTGGGAATTAAAGAATTGAAAGAAGCTTTAATTCAGAGTGATTGTAAGTGTGAAATGAGCTCCATTGACTCCTTCAGTGAAGCCGCTCCACAGCCGTTCATGAGAGTTTAAATGCTGGAGAATATTCCCATCTTCCCACAGCTGAAGAAGAAGCAAGCAGGAGGAATTACTCCAGGAGAAACTACTGACATACTGTTGGAAAGATGGAGTTTGAGGAAGAAGCCTGCAGAATGAGAGATGAAGATACAGAGGAACAAACAGGTTGGTGTTCTCCTTCATTCTCTTTAATGACTGATGAGGAACATTAAGGTGAAAGCTGACATATGTGACCCTGGAGCACAAAAGCAGTCATAAGTCGCTGGGGTATATTTGTAGCAAAAACCAACAACACATTGTATCGGTCAAAATGATACATTTTTCTTTAATGTCAAAAATTATTAGGATATTAAGTAAAGATCATGTTTCATGAAGATATTTAGTAAATTTCCTATTATAAATATATCAAAACTACATTTTTTATTAGTAATATGCATTGCTATGAACTTTAAAGGCGATTTTCTCAATATTTAGATTTTTTTTGCACCCTCAGATTCCAGATTTTCAAATAGTTGTATCTCGACCTAATATTGTCCTATCCTAACAAACCATACATAAATGGAAAGCTTATTTATTATTAAAAATGGACCCTTATGACTGGTTTTGTGGTCCAGGGCCACATATAACAATACATCTATACTAGTGGACTCAGCAGTGAAGTATATTTTTGCTCAATTGTGTTTTATTTTGTTTCACACTTGTTGATCATTTAATGTTTTGACTTTAGACTCAGTGGAAGTGAATAAGGACAAGCAGCATCAGTTTCAAAAAACTTATGTCACAAATAAAGATGGAAACGCTATCATTTCACAGACTGAACAGAATTTCACACAGAAACAAGCTGTAAAAACTGAAGTCAAAGGATCTTTCACCTGCACCGAGTGTGGAAAGAGTTTCAGTAAGAAAGGAAACCTTGCTGTGCACATGAAATCTCACACTGGAGAAAAAACGTTCACATGCACTCAGTGTGGGCAGACTTTTGTACACAAATCAAAACTCAAAAGACATATGAGGATTCACACTGGAGAGAGGCCTTATACTTGCACTCAGTGTGGAACCAGTTTCATTGATAAAGGACACCTAAATGATCACATGAGAATTCACACTGGAGAAAAACCATTTGCATGCACTCAGTGTGGAAAGAGTTTCAGGTGCAACTACTTACTCAAAGATCATCTTCGTTCTCACGCTGGAGTGAGATCATTCAGCTGTGATCAGTGTGATAAAACATTTGTTGTGGCATCAAGCTTAAGAAAACACCTTAAAATTCATGCTGCTGTGAAACCTCACGTTTGCTCTTTTTGTGAAAAGAGTTTTTCACGACCATGTGCTTTAAAAGGACATGAAAGTATTCATACTGGTGTGAAACCATATATGTGCCTTGACTGTGGAAAGACCTTTGCTACATTGAGCATCTTAAAAACACATGAGACGATTCATACTGGAGAGAAACCTTACAAGTGCTCACTCTGTGGAAAGAGTTTCGCTCGCTCAACATCCTTGAAAAATCATGAGCAAGTTCATACTGGAGAAAAGCCGTACCAGTGCTCTTCATGTGGGAAGAGTTTCACCAAATCATGTAATCTAGAGCGGCATAAGAAAAAACATTGCACAAAGGCATCTAAGTGATCAATGGATAATTTTTCCTTAAGTTTACTTGAAGTTAAGTAGTGTATTCAACATTGCTTATTAGCTATTAAAAAAAGCTAATTCTTTTACCTAAAAACAGCACCAGGTGTTTTTCTGTTTGTATTTAAAGAGGTGATTCTTCTCATAATATGGAGATACACAAATACACACTGAGAAATGATCAAATTATTCAGGAAAAGTGAATGTGTTCTGTGCAATTCGGCAGTAAAATACTTGGCTTACATCTTATAGTGAAAATATGTACAAGATTTCAGATCACACATTGTATGGTTGGTTATACCTTATATTTTGACAAACAGTTTGGTAAAAATGTAATAAAAAATGCAATTGTTGTTGTGTCTATGTGACTAAACGGAGGACCATTAACATTGCTTTGGCACATTTTTTGAAATTACATGAATTCTGTTCTCTCTCAGACACAATGACCACCAAAATATTACAGAACTATTTGCACATTTACATAATCTTTGCAAAGCTGTCAAACTTTAGTTCAGAACCTAACATAATAATACAGAAATTTGCTACATTTCTACATTAATTCCGTCGATTTATATACCAAATCTAAACAATAAGATGTAACACCTGTTGTGTAGGCTATTGTAATGTAAAAATGTAACTACTGCATTAAATTACAAACAGAGAGTAGCTCTTATTTTGTAAAGACGTTTCACAAAAGAAAACCTTGTTTAATGCTACCTGTTGTTTTTAGGTCATTGTTTTATGAGTGACTAAGAGGAGATTGTGTTGGAGGACAACAATCTTACCTAGTGTTATGAAGAAAATAAGAATATATGCATGACGTGTTTTAGTGCATTTTGAATGTGAAATTAACTGCTGTACTAAACTGGTTAGGAGAATTGTTTTGAAGAGGTGACCTAAATATTGAGATTGGGATTTCTGCCAGTAGAGACATAAAATGATTTTACAAACCCATTGCAAAATGTTTTATTGACCGTATAATGCATCAAATGCAAAAAAAATCAATTAAATATGAAGTGTCTGTATGTGTTTTTGAATTATTATTATTAATTTGCAGGGTTTTGTTTGTTTTTTGGAGAGCTTGTCTAAACAGGCCAATAAGAGACTAGGCCTATTAACGACTACTCGTCCTTTTAATTAGGCTACACAAATGTCTCATTAAAAATTTCTACAAAATGATAAAAACTGATTCTAGATCAGGTAAAACCATAGACGCTGGTCCAATGGTTCGCACCTCTAGTGATGTGTCGTTTATGAACGAGTCGTTCAGTTTGAACGAATCTTTTGTATCACTAAGGATTCGTTCATTTCGTGTTGACGCTGCTCTTGCGGTGAAGAACCCTGCAGAATGAAAGATGAGGATACAGATTCCTTCATTCTCTTTAATTATTACTGATGAGGAACATTAAGATGAAAACGGACATATATATATATATATATAAATCTAAAACTAGATTATAGTAGATTTGTACTAAGTTAAGGGTTAACTTATTTTGCTTTGTTTCTAGTTTGTTAGTCTTTATTTGAAGTATATGGGAAATTAATAGGCTTATGTTGATTTTAGATTCGATGGGACTGAAGGAAGACAAGCAGCATCAGTTTGAAAAACCCCATCATTTTAAAAATGAAGATGAATATGCAGTCATTTCACAGACTGAACAGAATTTCACACAAAAACAAGCTGGAAAAACTGGAGCCAAAGCATCTTTCACGTGCACTCAGTGTGGGAAGAGTTTCAGTCGGAAATCAGAGGTTAACAGACACATGACAGTTCACACTGGAGAGAAGCCTTATACATGCACTCAGTGTGAAAAGGGTTTCTTTGACAAAGAAGAACTAAATGTGCACATGAGAATTCACACTGGAGAAAGTCCGTTCACATGCATTCAGTGTGGAAAGAGTTTCGGTCAGAAATCAAAGCTTAATAAACACATGAGATATACATATATAACATTGGCTACCAGAAATCGCTTACTCTGCCTTTAAGAGAACATCTCAAAGCCGTGGATTCTTCTATTGCCTACCTCTCTGGACATTGTTCGCCGATCTCAGACCCACGCTAGCTTTTGGATTACTCTTAGTCTTGCCCTCATATACCTGTTTGCCATTGTCTGAACCTTGCCTGTTTTATGACCACGCCTTTAAATAAAAAAAGTTTGCACATGGATTTGCACGCCTCACGTCTCGTCAGCCCCGTAACACTCATGCTGCAGTGAAGCCTCACGTTTACTCATTTTGTGGAAAGAGTTTTGCACATGTGCACAAATTACAAGTTCATCAGAGCATTCATACTGGTGTGAGACCTCATGTGTGCTTTGACTGCGGAAAGACCTTTATTATGTCTAGCGACATAAAAAAACACCAGAGGATTCACACTGGAGAGAAACCTTACAAGTGCTCACACTGTGGAAAGTGTTTCACTGAGTCATCATCCTTGAAAAATCATGAGAGAGTTCATGCTGGAGAAAAGCCGTACCAGTGCTCTTCATGTGGGAGGTGTTTCACCCAAAATTCTAGTCTAATAAGACATATAAGATAAAGCATTGCCCACAGTCACATTCAGATCCATCACTTTCAAGTAAATAATTCAATATTCAGATGAAGCAAAAATTGGAATTAGCTGAAATAATTTAATCCAAATTTGAAAAACTGAATAAGATAAAAAAAATTTTTTTTTAACTTTTAAGGACATTCTTTTACCTAAAAATGGCACCAGATGTTTTTCAATTTATATTTCAAAAGTGATTCTTCTCATAATATGGACTCTAAAAACACACTGAAAGAAGATCAAATTGCTCAAGAAAAGTGAATCTGTTCTGTGTGTCTGGCAATTCAGCACAGTTTATACATGCATTGTAGCCATTCAATGGCTACTTCTTTGAAATTACATGAATTCTTTTCTCTCTCAGACACAATAACGACTAAAATATTACAGATCAATTTGCATGTGTACATAGGCTACTCTTTTTTTAAAACTGGTAAACATAATAATACAGCAATTTGCTACATTTCTACAGTAATACAGTGAAATATATTCCAAATATAAAAAATACTATCAAAAAGATGGAATTTGTTTCAATAGAGTGATTTAATCTAAGAGGGTAATTTGTTAAAATTAGTAGTGAAGTTTGATTATTTGACAAAGGACATTTTGGCAAGGCCATAGTATTAGTTTTAGAAACTAGTGTGTTGCTGTAAAACGAAGAGATGTTTTTGTTGTTGTTTCTTTGAGGAGTTCATTTGTTTTCATTAATTCTGCACACTAGCACAAATAGAAATTATGCATTCAAAGCATGTTGAATCACACATTGAACATAGAATATTAAATCTTTTTTTTTTTTTTGCATTTAAGGAAATCATCTGTACATTTTTAGACTAAGAGAAATAAAAAGGAACAAAATGTATGACTTAACTTAGCCTACTTGTTTACATGAATTCAAGGGGTTACTCTTACAGAAGAACCACAAGCAATTACATGTTTAATCACATGCATCACGCTCTACTGTTTGAAATCCAATGATAATAAAACCAAAACTACACTAGATGCTTTTCAGTTCAAATTTGTTTACAATATGAGAGAAGATGAAATTGGTTATGAAAGCTGATTGAAATGAACATGCAGCTAAAGAGATTAACTAACTTTTTTTTTAAAGGGGTCATATGACGTTGCTAAAAAGAACATTAATTGGTGTATTTGCAATGTGTTTATGTGGTTTAAGGTTAAAAAAACACATTATTCTCCATATAATGTACATTATTGTTTCTCCTCTATGCCCCACCTTTCTGAAACGCATCGATTTTTACAAAGCTCATCGGTCTGAAAAGCAAGGTGTGCTCTGATTGGCCAGCTATCCAGTGCGTTGTGATTGGC